TGAATTCAACGTGTTGGGGATTTGTAATAGTGAATTATTTGCAGATTTGTATATTATTATTAGTACTACCACACGGAATGAAGAATTTAAAGGAAAGCCGGGGCCACAAGGTCTTCCCCGAACATATTAAGATTTAATTTTTAACCAGAAACTGAGGAAGTATCCCTGAACCGAGGGAGTGTTCTACCGTGGATCTGTCTTCATACTCTCGCCTTGTTGTATTTTGTCCACATGATAGCGCCTCCCATAAATTTTGAATAGTTCGGCTAATTTTCGTGAAACCTGATATGGAGAGTTCTTCAGTAGAGGCTGTTCCAAGTTTGTGATTTTATTGTTTTCTGCTCGGCTATAAATAACGCCAACTTGGACCTACGTAATTGTGCATGGAAGTAGTCAGAAGTATTTTTAAAAATTACTGTTGGTAAGTAAGTAAGTCCTGACATCGCTGTTGCTTAAAGATGATTTTCATTTTTGAAGTCGTTGCTTGAATAATCTGCCTCCCACACTTCGTAGCCTGCTTTTGAATGTGGGGGAGGGTTGTCTGTATTTACAAAACAATTTGAGACCTCCGTTGTGACACACAAATAAAAGTACGTTTACTTACTGCAGCACTGGTTATTTGTGTTGGTGTCAGAAAATACAACCAATGATTTTAGAATATTTTGTCTTTCTGTACAAGAAGAGTATTAGGTAATCCTAAAACTGAACGCATGGCTTACGAGCTTTTCTGTGTACTTTCTTGAGGCCCCCTTTCACACTTACGCCTACTTGAAAGAAGATAAATTAAGCGAAGTTAAGAATCCCTGCAGACATCAGGAAGGGTATGATAAAAGACCAGCTTGAATTATGACTAACTCAGGAAATAGTTATTCCAAATACAACGTCTGAAGATAACAAGACAGAGTTTTGCGGTGCAGAAGCTAGACCGTGTACTTAAGAAGCGTAGTTAATATTTACTTCAGATGGTTATTTTTCAAAATACAGTATAAAATACAAAAATAATATATTATTTCCTGTGCTTATAAGTCATGTTTCTTCATCCCTGATCATTTTCTTATTATCATCCCGAAGCATCTCATAATCTCTCAGCTAATAAAGAAATTCCCCATCTTTTAAGGGACCTGATGGTTCGATACCGTGCCCCTCAGGAACACGCCACTCGATTCTATTCTCAGCCAGAAGAACCTAGTCCCAATTCTCACACCCTATTTTTAACGCCCATTCAGATATTATCCTCCCGTCTATATCTAGGTCGCCCACATTGTTTTTTTCCCTTCAGGTACTCCGATCAGAATTTCTCCCTCGTGTATTTTATGACTAAATTTATCGTATATTCTAATGAATATATAGTAAAGATGACTGTCTTCTCGGTTGTAGCGCGTATCGTATATTCTAATGAATTATATAGTAAAGAGGACTGTCTTCTCGGTTGTAGCGCCGTGTAGTTTGGTAGTCTGATCTGTCTCCATCATCAGGGCGATCATAATGGAGGCAGCACGGACCTCTGAAACGTTGGTACACTTCTACCAGAGTACACTGCGCTAAGGTCCAGAAGACAGCCATCTTCGGACTACCGCGTGAAAACCTCTAATCCTAACTTTTATCACGTATTCGCAGATATTTGAGGGGTGTCGTTTCTGAACCCGTCTAACGCCTTTTCTAGACAATGCTCTGTGGGCATGAGCTTTCCT